AGATGTGCCCTCGCTTCAATTTCAAGGTGCGGCGCGCCGCCAACCGCTTCGAGACCGTGGCCGTGGAGCAATGCTTCCTGAAGGCCATGACGACCTCCTGCTCTCCGCATGGCTGGGTGGCGAACACGCCAACCCTCCCCTGTGAGTATCGACGTTTCAACAAAATTACTAGCGGAATGCGTGAGGCACGTGTGTAGTGTAGTGTATTAAGCTAGAAATTATGGTACTTTGTAAGCATCGTGAAACTGGACTGGGAAATAGGTAACGCGTAAATTGGAATCACCCGACAACATATTTGTCCCTGAATCGCGCGTTGACCTAGACGGTGAAACCCACGGGTCATGCCTTACGAAACGTTCATTCCTGGAAATGAACAAAAATTTAAAATGACCGAGAGAGGGCCGAATCAACGGCTGAAAAACAAAACATAAAACGAAAAAGTCTACTGATTGTATCAGCTGCACGTGTTGCTCGCACTTACAGCATGCATCAAAACCATTCAAGACAGACACACGCATACGCACGTGCGTATGCCCCCGCCCGGCTTCGAAAGACGGGACCCGCGACAACCTGTCAAACACCCAGGCGGTAAAAAAAGTGTCCCTTCTACAGTCCACTCTTGTCTCTATTCTCTTCTCGTCCTCGCACCTGCGAAGACGCCCCCTATCGAACGGGGCAGCTCGTTGAAACTAACTCCCACGTAGTCGTCAAGTCGGCGCAGGGCCTCTTCCTTCCCGAATTCCTCGCAAGTCGCAGACACACGCATACGCATGTGCGTATGCCCCCGCCCGGCTTCGAAAGACGGGACCCGCGACAACCTGTCAAACACCCAGGCGGTAAAAAAAGTGTCCTTCTACAGTCCACTCTGTCTCTACTCTCTTCTCGTCCTCGCACCTGCGAAGACGCCCCCTATCGAACCGGGCAGCTCGTTGAAACTAACTCCCACGTAGTCGTCAAGTCGGCGCAGGGCCTCTTCCTTCCCGAGTTCCTCGCAAGTCGCCGGAACTCGGGAGGGAAGAGGCCCTTCACCGACTTTCACCGACTTGACGACTACGTGGAGTTAGTTTCAACGAGTTGCCCCCGTACGAAAGGGGGGGTCTCCGAAGGTGCGCACGTGCTGGTTCAAGTCTACGACGCAAGCTCTCAAGGCAGTTTTGGCTCTGGCTCCCTGCCACAGCCCTTGGACTAATTTCTCACAACATCACGTGCTATACACACGTACGATACAGACAACAACAAAATCCTTGTGCGTGTTCCAAATCGACCGCTTGAGGTATTTAGTGGATACTATCTGCTGACAACAGAAACCCTACCGGTGTAAGGAAGCCCGCGCCCCGGGCGGGCAGGGCGGACAGGGCGGACAGGGCGGGCAGGGCCGGCGGGCGGTTCACAAGCAGCCTGGTTCGGCGGGTGCACGGCGCACACGAGGGAGGGGGGGGGGAGGGGTCTTACAGGGAATTGTCAATTAAGCCAAACGGCGAGGGGGCAGTGATGCGCCGTCTTTACAAGGCTTCTTCCGCTAACGCCTCCTGACCACCACGTCGGGACCCCCCGAACGCTCACTAAAGGTGCTATTGTAACGCGTGAGGCATAAATGGCCATCCACAACCAATAGAGGTACACTACGCGCTCACGTTTGGAACTTAACGATATCGAGATCCTTTGTTCATTGTACGCAATGCCTCAAAACACCTTTAAACACCTTGCCCTCGCCAAATACCCACATCAACGCCTGGCCGGCGTCTCCGAGCCATGGCTCCTCCTCGACCGTACCCGCCGCCGGCGCCGCCGTCCTTCCTCGGCTTTCGTCCGCTCGCCCCCCCCGCTCGCCGGTTCCTCCTGCCCTTCATCTTCCTCCGGCTCCGCGGGGGTGCTGAGGGCCGCAGCCGCCTGGTACAAGCAAAGAGAGAGACAGAGAGAGGGGAGAGGTCATATCAAAACAGCGTGGAAACGTAAAGACCAGTGGAAGTGGGAACACTTCGGACACCCTCGTTTCTAGATTCTAGCCCATTTTCTGCAGCTTGACAAGCAAAAAATGACGGACGCTGCGATCACCCAAACGCTGAACCGACACGGGTGGCCAGAGGGCAAGTTGTGGGTGGGTTGTGGGCATCCACAAGGGGGCAGGTTGTAGAGGGGGGTTGGGAGGAGGCCTCAACCTTGGCCAAACGGCTTGGTTGTAAAAGGACGGATGCGGAAGGTTGGGAGGCAGCCACAACATTAGGCCACACCTCTTGGTTGTGCAAGCACCGGTCACACAGGTTGGGAGGCAGCCACAACGGCCATACCACTTAGTTGTGCAAGCACCGATGTTACAGGTTGGGAGGCAGTCACAACCGGAGGCCAGATTGTGTCGGTTCGACGGTCCGGGATAACTGGACTTCAGTGTACTACATGTGGAGGTCAGGATATGGAGATTCAGGGAGCACAGATACACGTACATAAAGAGTAGGATCTGAGGGAATATGTGATAATAGATAACCGTTCTCCGAGGGTCCACGACTCTTACGGTTCCCAACGGCTGCGAAGAGTTGATGAATCTTTAGGAGAATGGGAAATGGGTCCACGAAGGCTCGCCCACTCTCCGCGCCACCCTAGCTTGACTGAGTTCGCTCGGTCACGCTTGGCACTCCTCGCCATATTGCACCAAAGGAAATAGCCAACCTCCGGTGGCAGGACATAGCCACCACACTCCCGGACTCTCTGCTCACCCAGAGTAGAGGGCTTCCATATTGGCGTTCGATGAAGCGTTCTATCTTTGCAACCCACGTGTGAAACATGGGCTCCAAAGGAGGAAAGAAAAAGGACGGAGGGTCGCAACAACAGCAGCAACAGCTGAAAAAGCAAAAGCCGCTGACGCCCAAACAGCAGGCAAAGCCACGTCCCGACGCTGCTGCGCCTACCCACCACGGCTCGGCTAAGCCCCAAGAGGGACAGCCGACGCCGTCCCAAGCTGGGGACACCGCTGGTGCGGCTGCGAACGTAGCACCCTCGCAGAGCAGTCACCGTGGCGGGTACTTCCACGCTTTGGTGGGTGAAAGTCGTGACAGTGACAACAACAGCAGCGCTGGCGATGGCGCCAAGGCTGTCACCACCCGACACCACGACACCGACCCGCACTCCGACGACAACGACGACGACAACGATGACGACAACGACGACGACAACGACGACGACGCCGTTGGCGACGACGACGTCGACGACGACCTCGCGCAAGAAATCCTGCGGAACCGCGCAAACGCCGCCAGTCAGCAGAGTGCCTCGCTCCTGGCAAGCGGCGGGCCGCTGGAAGCCGTTCTCGTTGGGGCGGTCACAAAGGCAGTGGAGGCGGATAAGGCCCCGCCAGCATGGGTCCTCAGCATGCTCATGCCGGGAGCCGTCCACCAGCACGACATTCAGCAGGTGAATCCGCGTTCGCTTGCCTCAGATCTAGAAGCAGAAAATCGTTCTGGTATGCACACGACAGCAACTCTTCAACAGACCCCTGCTCGGAATATGTCTACACCGACAATTTCATCTATTAACCCGGTACACCAAAACACGGTAAACCAGGCCTCACCGAACCAGGTAAACCAGCAAACGGTAAACCAGGACAACCCTACCCCGGCAACCCAACCCAAGGTGAACCAGGACGTGATTAGCACGGCACGATTTACTTTGAAATCTCCGGTGGCAGGACATAGCCACCACTCTCCCGGACTCTCTGCTCACCCAGAGTAGAGGGCTTCCATTTACAATTTCTTTTTTTTCCGACTGGACAAAACGCAACAAATTCGTCTCCAACACAGATATGTAGATATAAGAGCCCAGGATACGTTGGCACAATGCGTACTAAATGAAAGCATACATAATTCAGTTTGGGCTTTTGTGTGAGTGTGTGCGGGGGTTCACGAGTGCTATGTGTGTACCAGCTACATGGCGCAGGGTACAACAAGCTCTCAGATCCCGTTATGGATCCCGCCAGACAGATGGGAAGACGGGGTTGGGGGGCATCCGAACCATCGAGCCCCCTATTGCATTTGCATGGCTTTGTTTGGCCCTGCATCGCCCTCGTGTGACGAGCTAGCTAGCCTTGACACAGACGACCAGAGGCCGCAGCATGCCAAGACGAATAGCGACTAAGCTGGTGTCATTCCTTTCGTAACCTAGGCAAACAGCAATGCTATCTCTAGATGCTCGGACTCGGGGCACAGCAACCACCGCAAGCTAAACCCGCCGCACGACACTGCTGCTGTAGAGTGGCAAGACGAGCTTCTACACGGCGCGCGTGGAGAAGAGAGAGCGACATTCCGGCAGCAGTTGCTGATTAGGTAAGCGATTCCCCTCCAGTTACATCTGGATGGTAGCAATAGAGGGATGAATTGAGGGAATATTGTGTGTTGAGTTGTGTATCCCTATGCATATGTCCCCGTTGGGAAGGGCGCGAAGTCTCCACGTGCTGTAGATGCATGTACGCTCAGACACCAGCAGTTCATCCTGCACACCCAACGGCTCTCGGCCTAATACGCGTATGCGGCTCTTCCTCACCATGCACAGAGCGGGGATTATCCCGGAGGCGTCAATAAGCGCCCAGCCTCATAAAAGAGCTTTTTGGAGGGCGGGTAGGCACTTCGTTATTTTGTTATTTTCAACGGTTTTTTGTTTTTTTGGGGGGTGCTCGTTTGTTTTTGCTCAAGAACTCTTACACCTATACTGAATGAGAAATTCGGGATACCGTGTGGAACACCGGCAGACGCAGAAAAGAAAACATACCCTCACCCCTCGTGGGTACAACCTTCTATGTCTCCGCTCCATTCCCCCAAATTAATAACTCAGCCAACCCGTACAGCCTCCACCCCTGTGGAGCTACCTGACCCTTGCCCCTTATTGCAGGCTGAGGCATCGTACCCCAAGCTATTTTTACGGCTTCCTTACTAGGGCATCTGACACTTCTTTTGCACCTTCTCCTGCCTCCCTCACGTACACCATAATAGCCCGTGACTTCCATCGGCCTGCGCGTTGGATTTGTAGTTCTGACATTCCTTGCGTAGCTAGTTGCGTGGCTCTCCCGATCCGCCTCGAATGCAACGCGTACTGAGCGGGATTCCTTCCGGCGCTGGCTACCATCATTCGAAACGCGCCTACGGCTTCAGTTCGGGTAATCACTTTCCACCCTGCTGCCGTGAGTCTCGTCATCAAGGGCGCGCCTCCTGGAAGTTGAGGGTTTTCGTCAAGGAGTTCCACCAGTGCCTCGAACGCCCCGACCGGTGCCCCGCCTTGCTGCCCCCCCCTTGGAGCGCGCGTGCGAGAGATCGTGCACCCTTCCCGTAACTGATCCGTTTTTGATGCCACGAACCGAATCTTGACGGTGTCGGCGCGCGCTCTATCCTCCATCCTGATCTGATCCTCTCCGAGAAAGAAAGTCACGCAATCGCGAGTCAAACAAAATTCCGGGTGCACGAGCCCGTTTGCATACGCGAAAAGTTCTGACGCTCTACATAGGAGGAAGTACGAGAGCGCCAATCCCAACCACATGATTTTTCCTTTCTCCTTGAAACTCGTGACTGCCAGGTAACCGCGAGCTAAGATGGCCCACGTGAGTGGCAACCTTACTTGCGATTCCTTCCCTGACCGCCCGCGAATCCTGTCGATCCCCTTTCCTGCCGCCACTATCATGAAGTGGGATGTAGGGAGCTCCCAGCCTAGATACAGCTTGTAGAAAAAATTGATGGCCGACAGGTACCCTCGGATAGTGGATTGCTGATAGTTGAACACGAACAGACGGCAGGCCATGAATTCGAGCAAAAGACTGAGCACGTCTGATTCCTCTGCCAAATGCAACCATGGGCCTCTCCCTTTCCTTCTGGTGAACTCCTACCACTGCTTCCACTTTCCAGCATACACCCTATGTGTGCTGCCTCCGACAGATGCGCTCACGAGAGTCTCCACCAAACTCGCTACTTCCGCGCTCATCCCTTCATTCTCTTTTCCTGTTCCTGGAATTGGTTCCGAACGGCGATAGAGAAGGCGTTGAACGCAAGTACGGGTATAGGTGTAACTCATGTGGCGGTCATGAGCTCCCACAACATGTTGTCGTGCCGAGGAGCGATGTTCTTTGTCTGCAAGACGATATCGCACAGGCGATTTCCTTTTGCTCCGATAGATTGTTCGTGCCAGTCGTCGGTGTGTGTTAACTGCCGCACCCTGTGGGCCAGTTCTGATCGCGGCCAACGTGAGATGCCATCCGCTAACGTGTTTTGTACGCCTGGAATGTGTTTGGCGTCGTATCGCCAACCTCCTCTGATTTCAAGGCGGCCGAGCATTCTCATCAATAGGCATGCGCGTTTGTCTCTTGCTCCTCCGCATCGGTTTGACCACGTAAATGCTGCGAAATTGTCTCCGCGCATTCTCATCGGGTCGCCTCGGTTTTCCGGGCGGTCCCCTACAAGCTCGTGCATGACCCACGCGGTTACGACCATCCCCACCAGTTCGAGGAGGTTGATTGTAACACTGCTCGTCTTACGACACGCGGCCTTTCGTTTTAGTTCGGCCGCGAAAGGCAAAGGTAAGTCGTATCTCCAGTACACTCTTAGCTCTTGACAGTATCCGCCTATTGCGTCGAAGCTGTCGTCTGACAGGTAGTTTCTCTTTGCTGGACGGCTTACGTTGGTAAAGCAAGGTGCGCATAGAGACTCCCCGGCTGCGAGAAGTTCTTGATCTATTGCCCATCTCCAGAAATCTAGATCGTCGTGGAACTCACTTCCTAACTCTACCGAGTGATTCTGATTCTTAAATGACGAGTGCAGGTCTGTGAGTCGGAGTAACCTCCACACGAAATACTTTCCGGCGCGAATCACGTACGTCAGATTCC